TCTGCTATAACCCCCCCCTCCTGAAAATACTACTTCCCTGGCTGTTATATTTCTCCATGAGAATTTCGGAGTCACTGACCCGGAAAGGCTTCATGCAGGTTGCTGATTTAGAAAGTATTGGAGTCAGCGACAGCCTGTCAAGGAGCATTTGTCAGAAGGAAGTCCTCATCTCTCTTGTCTAGACCTCCTGTAGCTGGAATATTATTATTATCATGTGACGCCTGTACAGAAAACAATGAATACTGACCTGTTCTGCTTAAACGGCATTCTCTTGGAGAACTGGGCCAGCTGCATCGGACACTTGTGTCTGGGAGTGTAGAATACCGGGTCCCCCGCCAAGCTGTGTGGTTCCATCCGCCGGCCCCTACATCACTACTGTGTCCCGCACTGACATAGAGGGAGGTAGAGAGATACACAAACTCCTGGAGGTGTGCCAACTAAGCTCTGCAACAAAGAGAAGACTGGAGGCTCAGATCTGGTTCCTATACAGCCCAGGAAATACAATAACATATTGGTAACAGTCTGAGAGATCTATTGGAGGTGGAGGGGCCCTTTAAATGTCTTTACAATTCACAATTCTGTTGTTTAGACCAAAATATTGGCTGGTTTAACCCTGAACCCCGGGATAAATACAAGATCCATGTGTATTCTTATATGAATCTTGCTGTGCTTTCTGATTTTCTCCAGATCTGCAGGAATCCCGTGTGAGACTTGGAGCTTCCTGTGATAAAGACCCATCACTGCTGCTCTCACTCCTTGTGCAGGGTGATTGGTCTTGTATCTGCCCCCTCCTGTAGTTTTCTGCAGGCAGCCTGTAGAGGGTGGAGCCTGCTGGGTCCCTCCCACAGATCTGTCCTCTATGCAGGTAATGTACAGCACAGGGATGTCACTGCTACTTTTACAAGGTAATATCTGGGTTTGCAAAGGCATTTGGTGCACACAAAATGGATTTCTATCCTTTGTAGGAATGTATCTATATGAAGGTTTGTTTGGCTGTAATTTGTTTCTTTACAGGCAGAATTGCTTTACCAGCTATTGATAACATGATCTGCAACAATCTGAACTCCGGGCAGCTATAAAAAGACACAAATGAATGTCATCAATATATGTATTTATCAAATGCAAGCAGTGCAACTACCTGAGTGTGACTTCATCAGCATTTCCCAGTCCTGGCACACCTAGACTCAAGACTGGCAGAGGGAAAAGCAGCACAAGGAGCCAATCAGTCATGCTGCTCTAACAAAGAGCACGCTGATAGGAGGAGAGAAAAGAGTGACAGAGAGATGAGCTCATCAGTCTGCTGCTTCTCCTTTCACTGTCCAGTCACAGGCTGGGGAGGATAAGACCAGAGACGTGCGATCAGGGGAGGCAGGTGAGGTAGAGCCTCACCTACTATTATGGAGGGAAATGCTGTCAGCTTCAAGTCTGAAGCTGACAGCTTTTTCTCCATTCAGAGCGGATTGTACCAGGTTACACAGCAGGGAAAGCCTCCTCACTGTGTAACCTGTCATGGACGGAGCGCTTCCTGTTCATTACAGGCAGCGCTGCATCCAGCTTTTGACAGGTAGTTAGGTTGCACAGCAGCAGGCTTCCCCACTGCTTTGTGTAACCTAACTTGGTGAGGCAAGAGCTGTCACAGCCTCTACTCTGTTTAGAGGTGTGAGCTCAGTGGATGGTTTGGACCAATGGCAAAGCGCCATTGGTCCAAGCTGTCCAATCACACAAAAGATTGTACCAGGTTACACAGCAGGGAAAGCCTCCTCACTGTGTAACCTGTCATGGACGGAGCGCTTCCTGTTCATTACAGGCAGCGCTGCATCCAGCTTTTGACAGGTAGTTAGGTTGCACAGCAGCAGGCTTCCCCACTGCTTTGTGTAACCTAACTTGGTGAGGCAAGAGCTGTCACAGCCTCTACTCTGTTTAGAGGTGTGAGCTCAGTGGATGGTTTGGACCAATGGCAAAGCGCCATTGGTCCAAGCTGTCCAATCACACAAAAGAAAAAACACTGAGGCCATCGATCTCGATGCCTCAGCAGTGACGAGCAAGGGAGGCTCCTCCCTGTCTCTTCCCTCCCCCAAACTAGCTTGGTGACTGGGTTTTGGGGGGGGGCTTCAGCAGGCTGGGGGCGGGGCTGGGGAATGCCTCACCCAGAACCGGAGGTACCGCACGCCATTGGATAAAACCGGTGTGTGTTACTTAAAGTGGTGCAATACTCACCTCTCTTCCAGCAATGCCCGCCGTCTCTCTTACCGTCGCTGACTTCTTTGCCCAGTATAGAAGCTTCTGGCCATCTTGATTGGCTGTGCAGGGATGATGTAACTCCCACGAATGTTCAGCTCACTGTACATTGCCAATAGCAAGGCGGACAGGTTGTCACTGACACAGAGGAGGCGGAGCTTTGTCGCCATGTGAAGGAGATTGAAGATGGCATTTACACTGCCGTGTGCAGCATGTATGTGAGCAGCATGTATGTGAGCAGTGGGGAGGGATCGTTCTAAACTTGGCCTATTTTACACTTTAAAGCTGAACTTCGGGCACAAAATCTTTCATTGAAATCTATTCAATAGACACAAAGGGTATAAATCCAAATGCTCTAGATCAGTGGTTCTCAACCTGTGTACCCCCAGCACCCGCATTTGTTCTTGGTCATTAAGTCGTGACCCAAGTCGGACTGCAATGGAACGCACGGCATTAGGGTACTGCACGTTCCAGTGCGGGTGTACGAACTGTGGGTGGGAGGTGCGTTTGGGGTACCATTCAAATGAATGGCAACGCAACACATCTCCCACACCAGAATGCACGGTAGGTGCAATTGCGTGGTACAGTGCGTTAATCGCACGGTACTATGTGATTAGCACACTGTACTAGTGTGAATGGGCCCTCAAAAACACTGGCATACATACACAATCTCACACACATACACACTCCAAAATGTTAATTCTTTTTTTTTTTAAAAGGTCCACCCAGTCTCCCTACCTTATGAGAACTGGAGTGGATCCTCAGCCTGGGGTGCAGTGTGCGCTGCTGTGCTGTGACAGAGCTCCATCCATATGTGCATTGCTTGTACAGCTCCCTTGCGCGCCCTGTAGATGTGCCAGGTGCCAGAATGTGATGTCACTCCGGTTCTGGCACCTCTATAGGACACATGAGGGAACTATAAGCAATGCACATATGGCTAGAGCTCCCTCGCAGTCATAGCCCCATCCCACCTCAAGCTGACACTCGGCACCGGGAAGCATATTTTGAATGGCTGCTTGGCATGAGAACTGACAGTGCTGTACAAGGGGGAGGCAGTGGAGCCTCTCACCTAGAAAAGTGGAAGGCATGCAGTGACCCACTGAACACGGGGTCACGACCCAGCAGTTAAGAACCAAGGCTCTAGACCCAGATATTACCTCCTAAAAGTAGCAGTGACATCATCAGAGAGCAGAGCTGTGGGAGGGGCCTACCAGGCCCCACCCACTACAGACTACCTGCAGAAACCTATGGGAGGGGGCGGAGTCACAACCTTTCACCCTGCACAAGCAGTGGCTGGTCCCTAATACAGGAAGTTGCTGCACAGAGGCAGTTGTCACACTGATCTGGAAGAAATACACAAAGCACACCGAGATTCAAGGAAGAATACACATGACTCTTGTAATTAGACAATATTTGCTTATCCCGGAGTTCTGCCTTAACATTCCACTTTAAGTGCAGCCGAGACAAATCAGATCTGTCAGCCAGGGTGCTGTGTGGGCACTGCTGTGTAAATCTTAGGACTGGATGGATATAAATAAAACTAGATTGGCAGGTAAAGGAACTGCCATGATGGAGGGATTTCACTCTGAAGATGACATGACCCCAATGTTACATTGTAAGGACTCCAGTCCCCCATCACCCATGCAATGTCACACAATGACCCCATATAGGAAGTCAGACTGACAGCCCGGGGGAGGAGCCCTAGGTGGAGGGGGCGTGGTCACTACCCGGGGATCTGTGCACGGAGAATGGCCCTTCCTTACCCTGTGTCCCTGTGCACCCCCTGGACCGGAGCCCCTCAGTCCATGGAACAAGCGGTGTGATCTCACCTCTGTCAGCGCTCCCCGGCCGGCTCCACTCACAACTCAGGGGCCCGGCTG